CGCTCAGCCAGTGAGCGGGAACCGGTCTGCATGTGGGATCTGAACCCTCGGCGGGAGCGCTACCGCGCCCCCAAGCGGCGCACTGTAGCAGTGCGCCACCGGGCCGGCCCTTAAAAAATTTTTTTTGAGCAACCTTTTATTTTGCCTCAAACAAGTAGCACCTAATAGCTGCTGTTAGGTAATTTACAAATTCCTATTGATAGTGCATCTCCCTGCTCTTAGAATTCTCAGTGATAGGCTAGTGCAGTGAAGCTTACAGAGGCAATCAGAGATGGTGATTCTTATTGAGCATTATGCAACTGTGAATAAAATGTCAGAAAGCCTGAAGGTAGAATAGCCAGAAATGTACCAGGCCCTGAAATTAGATGACTTGTAATTTTTTACATTCTTGACAGACTTAGAAGGCAGTCTTAATGAACCCCATTTTGCTAAGAAAAAATTGGGCCTCAGATGGGACTGGGATTGCCTAAAAGCAAATTAAGCAATAGAGCCAGAATTCAAATTCAGACCTGTCTGATTATAAAGCTGTTTTCTCTTCTCTACCTCTCCACTCCAAATCCTATGTATACACTTAGGATGTGAAAACCATACTTCTCAGCATAGAAAACAATACTTCTCAGTCTCACATGTATACTTGGGAATATTGTTTCCATGGAGATGTATCTTGTCTAGTTCTATGAAAGCTGAATTTTACTGTAGCAAGGATTACAACTGAATAGGTAAACTAAATTGTTTTTTTGCTTCTAGTGTTTTTCCATTATTGCTAACTTTGACACAGAACACTTTTTAGTTTCCCACAGGTGACAGGCCTTCAGTTCCTTTTTTTGTAAAAATGGAGAGTCTAATACTAGATGATCCTTAAGGTTCCTTGTAGCCTGCACTGTTTACACTTCCTGTTTCGCTGTTGGTGTGGCAAGTAATAATGCTTGTTTTTCAGAGTTAGGAAATGCTTTCTACTTTAGCTTTTAGCTTTAGAGCAAGATTACATTAATTCAGTTGGAGGTATGGGATTCAAATGATAGCTTTACTTTAGTTTTATCTTGTGAAAGTCTGACATAGTTTGCTTTTCTTGATTTCTTTAAAATCGGTTTTTAATTTCTTACAAATTGGATTCGTAGCTATTTCTTTGCTTCCCTTTGAAAACAAATGGTTTACATTCAGGGTAAGGTATACATGTGGTTGATATTTTATTTAGCGCTATTTAATTTACTTTTTCATGCCTATTTATGGAGATAACACAGTTTTTGATTTTATGTACTGAGATACTTTTTAATGTTATAATACGTGCTCTTGTTTAAAAAGCAGTCTTTTGAAAGGTCATTTCTTCATTCAGATATTATTAAGCCCTTGTTTAGGCTTCTTTTAGATGCTGAGGATATAGTAGGAAGCAAAACAAAAATTCTTCTCAGTGGAGCTTTCATTTTAGAGAGTGGAGATAGACAATAAATAAGTAAAATATATGATGACTTAGGTGGTGATAAGATGGAGAAGGATAAACAAGGTAAGGGGGAAAAGAGTGTTGAGTTGGAGGGTGGGATTTTTCTCTTTCATATCAGGTAGTCCCAGTGAATCTTTCTAATAAGGTGACATTTCAGCTCTTGACATGAAGGACATTTGGGAGTAAGCACATGGATTCCAAGGGGGAGCCCAAGGCTGCAGCCAGCTTGGCCAGTTTGAACAATGTCAAGAGTTCATTGTGGCTTCAGCAGACTGGGCAAGGGAGAGAGATAGGAGCAACAGGGGGAGCTGGAACAGGTAGGGCTAAGTGGGCTGTTGTATGGATTCTTGCTTTTACTCTGAGGGAGATGGGTAGCTACAGATGGATTTTGAGTAAAGAACAGCTTATCCTAATTTACATCTTAAAATGATCACTCTGGCTGTATGTTAGGAATTGACAATCTAGAGTACAGTAACAGGGTGACCAGAAAGGAGACTTGCAGTTATCCATGTGAGAGATGATGGTGGCATGGATTGGGTTGGTGCAATGAAGTTGGTGAAAAGTGAATGGATTTGGGTGTAATTTAAAGAGAGCTAACAAGATTTGTAGATGGTTTAGGTTGGGGTTTGAGTGAAAGAGACAGAGGAATCAAGGATGACTCTATGGTTTGAATTGAGCAACTGGAAGGCTGTGGAGGCTATTTACTGAAGTGGGAAAGACAACAGAAAGAGCAGGTGTGTGTGTTGGAAGTCAGGATTTTGGTTTTGAATATGTTAACGTTGAGATACCTATTAAACAATTTCATTTGAATGTTTACATTAATATTATAAGAATGCTTCTTTAAATCCTTAAAGATGGGTGATAGTGCTGACATTTTTCATATTTAAAAAACTCTTTGTTGTGGAATATATTTGCAAAATGGTATATAAAAACATATCTTAAGAATCATAATGAACGCTCATGTAACTTACCATCCAGGTTAAGAAATAGAACATTTTAAGCCCCTTAGAAACCACCTGTGTGTGTGCTTTCTTTCATTATGATTGCAGTCTTCTCCCAGTGGTAACCACTATTCTGTTTTGTTTTGGGTTTTTTTTGGTTAATTACTTCCTTGCTTTTCTTTATGGTTTTGTTATCTCTATCTAAACAATAGTTTATTTAGTTTAGCCTGTTTTTGAACTTAATATAGATCGAATTATACTGACTGTTCTTTAATTACTTGCGTAGTTTACTTTAAATGTATTTCGAGATTCTTTTCTGTGTGTTAATAGTTTATTCACTCTCTCTGTTTCATAGTATATTTCATTGTGCAGATATCCCACAAT